GTATTGAAATAGATAACACTTATCGAAAACTGACGTTAATGCCCAATAATCGACTATCGATTTTTGGCGATTTGATTCGTTCCAAATTCGATTTTAATCCCTGCTGGAAGGTAAAACATAAGAATATTTGAATGAAAAAAGGAACGATCTATTCTAAATCTATTATCAGCTTTCATGCAGAATCGGTGAAACGAAATATTTGGATCTCTTTTAAATCAACTCAAATTGCGAAACCCCACCAAACGCAAAGATGAAGGTTAGTAAGGGAAACACAATCAGACGGATGACATGCACAACAAAGCACTGCCGGACAAACCAAAAGCAAGCATGAAAGTTAAGCTAGCAAAACCTACTTGCTCGATCCGAACAATGACAGTAGCATCCAGAAAATGTATACGATGTCCAGGAATATCTGCACTGCTGCGAAGATGTGGTCTTCAGGAGAGATTTCGTATTTGCGACCTCCCATTAGCATCTGAACATCAATTACTATCAACTACTAAATCACTAATACTTTTACCAATAGCCTCTTACTCAAGAGAAACATCTAGAATACAGAATTGAGAAATAAGTACGGGTATAATTTTGCATGTTGCAATTAAATCTTTCTTGACAACAAAATGAAATCAGACAGGCGATTTCACTAGAAGTTTGCAGCCTTATTCTCATTATACCTATCTTGACAAGAAACGATATCAACGACTATTACGAAAAGGCTAAATGGTGTCTGGTTGCAAATTTAAGTCCTTGCAACACAGTACTTTCCGCAAAAACCTTTCTCCAAGCCGTTGTCACTCACAATTATTTTGACCAGCGACTTTGAGAATTCACTCATAAATTTGGTACTACTCATTATATATGTACAAAAAACATCTAAGCATTTACAAAGTACTACAAATCAAAATTACTCACTTGTACATCAATGGCCAGGTAGAACATGAACAACAATGATGCTAATGCAGCATATACCATGTAGATGAACCTGACGTGGAAGAATATTGCCGAGATCATAGCCACCATTCCGAAAACCAAGAGACACATTGATAGGATGAACATGATTCCCATCATGCTGGAAGAGGAATTCAATTACTTGGGTGCAATTCTACTAGAACATGCGTTTAACTTCAAAATTACTTTGTAAGATCGTATTTGGTTTGCATGGAGAAGATGATGATTGATCCGCAACAGATGGTGCAGATAATCAGTGTAAGTAATACAGACACGACATTGTGATGAACAGTGATCATCATCGTCATGTATCCAACAGCCAAAGTCTATAATAAGTGAAACT